GGGGGAGAGAAGGGACAAGCTTCTTCCCAGGGGACAGGTTTTTCAATGTGATAAGCCAGGCCAACTTACGAACAAAAAGCTTGAGATAAAGTGCAAACATGCTCACTGAGAGTTTATGCTACAAGACATATTTCCCAGTGGATAATCTCAGAGAGTTCAACTAGGAATTTTCCTTTAAAAAGAGGAATTAAGAGTCTCTCATAATGGCATAATTAAAGATCAACTCTGCTCTGTATACATGGTATTTCTGAACATAAATCAATTAATGGAACAGACTCCTGAGGTTTTCTAGCACACATCCCACTTTTAATTTGTTTAAACAGACATTTAAATGCCCTGGTACTCCAAAAAGACATTATAATTATGATAGTTAGATAAATAATCATGGTGAAATACTTGGAGCAGTTGGGCAAAATGCAATAAAAAGTCCATTACCTCTTTACCGACGTCTACCCATATACATGTAGGGGTTTGATCATAAATTTCACTCTTGCTTGAACATAATTGTAGAGATTAATAAAGATCATTGTATTTTAATTCAGAAAAAAAATATTATAACATAACAAGAAAAATGCCAAGCACATCATCCCGATGTATCAAGTCCAGTTGCTTTATGTTGTTATAACTTGCCATCATATAAAGAATAAATGTAAGGTAATGCAGTGTACCAAAATAACAGATGATCCGTGGACTAACTGATCAACGGATCAAATATGGCCGACCCACTTTCCGTGTAAATCACTTTAAAGAATTCCCCCAGTGGATTTACGCAGCAAGCTTTCAAATCCATGACTCAAGCCGGTTCTGAACAGGCCCTTAAACATACGTTAGCACTGGTTCTGCTGCCTGATATAATTAATGGGCAATATGTGCTATATTCAGATAATGCAAACATCCTTCCATCAGCAGAGTAGATAAAAATGGAAGTACATCTCTATAAAAAGCAGATTCGTCTTCATTTGTCCTGGTTTAATGGAAACAGAGAAGCTGCACTGTGTCAATTAGTGCTCGAACATGGAGAAAATGTGGTAAAATATGGATTCTGGTTTCCATTTAGGATATGATATTCTCTTTAGGATGCAGCTTGCTAGCAAAACTGAAGGGCCAGTAAGACTTTATAAGATTACGATACGAGATCTTGTTAAAAACAAGACATTTAAGTTTGAATTCTCAAATTTTCATTCAGTTAACTTTGTTGGGCATATCTATAACAACTGAAACAGTCCATAAAATCCAAATTTTCTTTTTAAGTTAAACGTGGTCTTATTAATCCGATCATGTTACTTCTTAATTATAACATGAAAAAAAGAGAGAACAAATTAAAGTTTCTGGGGAATTTTGGTGAGGGACAGAAACTCACATTTACCAAAACCACAGTAACAGTATTTAAATACAAGTGACAATATAAAAATATAACAAACTAGAATCAGCATCATACTAAATGGATGTCACTTTACTAGTACATCAAGATCAAATATCATATTCATGTTCTTTTTTTACTGTAAAGCAAAGTTACATCATCTGATAATGTATGCAACTTTGTATCAAACTGCATGTATAACATTGCATCTTTATTTAATTATGACAATGTAACTCAATGCATATAATATTCTATTACAAAATTGCAAATTGGGTGAATTTACCTGTAAAAATACACTTAATATAAAAGCAACAATTAATAACAGTAAATGTTACAATGTGTTATGTTAAAGTGTCACAATCAGTGCAGAATAACAATTGTACTGCTTGTAACATTGCATCTTTATAGCAGTAACAATGTAATACATGAAACAATGTATTACAATGTTGCCAAACAGGTTCTGAATTTACCTGTAAAAATGCACTTTAATATATGAAAATAACAATGCATGACAATAAACATAACAATGTGTTACAATATGTAACAATATATAACAAAGTGCCACAACTACATATCAGTGCATAGCTATTAATAGTAAGGTGCAGAAATTGGCACAAACTGTGCAGTTACCAGGATTGCTTGTGCGCTGCAGCGGGTTCCTCGGACTCAAAGTCCGATCTAGAAGGCGTGGAAAGATATGCTGGGTTACTAAAAAAACAATATTGGCAATACTTGTGCTGTATGTGATCCCGAAGTGTGCACACATGAAAGAATGTCCCGTTTTATCATAACGACAGTCACTGTAATCTTAATTAAAAATTGTCTCCCTTTTCATCTTAACGGGTATAACAATAATATATTTCAGTAGCAATTTATTTTTATTAAACAATGTGAACATGAACTATTTTCACAATATATCCAGAAAAATTCCCAGTCTGGATAAAAAGATAAGAAAATATCTTTCCATTTATATCAAAGACCCCACCCCCACCCCCTCCACGCACACACAAACACACACACGCGTCCCACTTTTTGCTTCTCTGGGCCCCCTGTGTATTATGTGATGCATACTCAGTAACTGACAATTAAATTATTTTACTTTTAACAGTCCTCCTCTGCTTCCAATTTAATTAACAGATGACGCCAATGTGACTCATGCCACAAATGAGTGAAAACATCTGCATTGTTGTGGTTCCATAGCCATGATATTACATTTTTACCTTAGTTCTTCCCACGTTCATAATACAAGTACATGCAAAGCGCTTCCGTTCTTATCTGCATTAACATGATCATGTGTTTTAGGTTTAACCTGCTAATGAGAAAGTATAAACATATTCCCTTCAGTTTCACAAAAGAATTAATAACCAAAAGCTGATTTCAACTTCTACTCAACTTGTAAAACTAAATTTCGGTGTTTTTTATTCATTCAAGCTGCCAGTAAATATGGTGTAGTCCCCTATTTTAGAGTGATTATTGGTCCAAAATATTTTCCATTTTTTTTTTTTTTTTTTTTGTTATATAACAGATACAATACATCATTTAACAAAGGGACTTAGTACTGATTTAGCCTGAATCATAAGAGACAAAAATATGGTCACAGTGTTTAGACCATCACAGGGCTCAAACAGTTTTAAGTTAAACAGGTACCAGAAGAAGACTGCATTCAAATTTGTTTTAATATTCAAGATTTGAAGCAGATCACTATATAAGAGTAATTGTTGGTCCTACCTAAACATTTGCCAATTTTTTCTTGCCATTAAACAGGACAATATATCAATTTATCTCAAACAGTTCCCAGAATTAAGCTGCATTCACTTTTTTTCCACATAATCTGTTTTAAGCTTTATCCTGGAAAGTAACATTAATGGGAAGCATCCTGTGTATAATAATTAGGACAAGGTCTCACGCATATGATCAAATGAAACTTGGGATCTGAACGAGAGTGGGGTTAGAAATAATGGCACACTAGCAAGCATAGTGCATCATTGAATAAAAAGTGACAGAATATTATAAGTTCTGTTAACTTAAGTCTATTTCCACAATGTACAGAAACAAATGTTGCTTTTGCATTGCTTTCTAAGATGACATGCCCAACATGTACTGTAGTTCAATGAAAAGCTATAATTTCACCTCGTCCCACAAATTCCCACAAATTCTTGCAAATTCAATGCAGCTTTAGAAATGGAAATATCTTGGAACAGGTTCTTGCCTGTGTGTCAGAGAGAGAGAAAGAGAGAGAGAGAGAGAATGATTCAAGTTATTTCAGTGGGAGATATTAAAAGAAATATAACTGTGTAGAGTCAACTTTTTTGTTATATGTCAGCCAGATCTATAAAATAGCATCCCAAATCAGGATTTAAAAAACTGCAGATTTTGCACAAAAGAATTTTTTCTTACCATCACATTTTCCTTGGAAAAATACATGAATCTCCTTCTTCTGTTTGCATGCCTCGAGTTTCAGGAAACACTCATTACTGTATGTCTTTCCATCCGTACCACACACGGGGGCGAAATCAGAAGAGCACAGTCCACCGCATTTACACACAGGTTTTCGGTTTGAGTCCAACTGACACATTTCTGTTGCATTACATTTGTGGTCTTTACAGGGATCTAAATAAATTAATTAAGAAAAAAAGAAAAAGTTTGAAACATACTAATAGGGACAAAATTAAATAAAATGACATGCTAACCCTGACATGAGAATCAAATTAAAAATCTCAGAATTCCATGGTTCAGAGGAAAAAGCTTAATTATTTATGCTAAATGCTAAAATACACAACCAATTTTCAACCAAGTATTCATGATGAAAAAAAAGATTGAAACATATTAACTCAGCCAAAATTAAATAAAATGACATGCTAATCCTGACACGAGAATCCAACTAATAATCTCAAAATTCCATAGTTCTGAGGAAAAGCTTAATCATGTATGCCAAATGATAAAATAAGCAACAAATTAAATTAAACAATTGTAAATGAAAAAAAAAATTTTTTAAATTATTAAATGAAATCATTACTTATATGCAAGAAATCAATCCAAGGTTTTAATACTTTCAATATTTCTACAAAAAAAAAAAAAA